CCTGTGGCTCAAGTGGCTAAGGTGCCAGCCACATACACCTAAGGTGGCGGGTTCGAATCCAGCCCAGGCCCACCAAACAACAATGACAGCTGCAACAAAAAAATAGCCAGGCGTTGTGGTGGGTGCCTGTGGTCCCAGCTACTTGGGAGGCGGAGGCGGGAGACTCCCTTGAGCCCAGGGGTTGGAGGTTGCTATGAGCTGTGATGCCACGACACTCCACCCAGGAGGATAGCTTGAGGCTCTGTCTCAAAAATAATAATAATAATAATAATAATAATAAAAGACAAAAAACAAACCCCCAATCCCCCTGATTCTTTACCATGACCTATGGGGCTTCATGTGATGCCACTTTCCCTTTATCTGCTGTGTCCTTGTAGTTCCTTGATCATGCCTACCTCTTTTGGGTCCCCGGAATTTTTGCACAGCTCTGTTCTCTGCCTGAAGCACCCAGTCCTCTGTTCTCAACTGGCTGCTCCCTCATCCTTTAAGTCAATATCGTTGCCATCCTTATGAAGCTTCTTCTGACCACATCATCTGAGTGTGGCCATTCCTTTTCCTCAATTTCCTTCTTTGTTCAACACTTTTACAAGCTTCATGTTTTGTGATACACTTGTCTGTTATTTCTCTTCAACTAGACAGTAAGCTCTGTAAGGGCAAGGCCCCTGTCTATATTGTTCAATATTATATATCTAGCACTTGTTGTAGTGTGCAGCGCAATTGTGGCTCAATTTGTAAAATAGATAAGTAAACTTAAAGCGAGGCTCGCGTGTAAAATCTCATTTCTCCCTGGAAGACTGGAATCAAACTATCCATCCACATGCTTCATACCAGTCATACGCTGGCCTGTAAACAACTTCACGATTAAGCAGGATGCTGCTGAAGAAGCTTTGCTTGGCTGGCAGGCATTTGAAAGGCAGCATGGAGGTTAAAATCTGTGGTTCGCAGAGTTACTGCTTTTCTCCCTGGTTTTCCATATTAACCTGGGCATGGTATAAGACTGGTCTTGGCCTTGGTCTCCTGGCTTTATTTCTGGATATACTCAATTTGGTTTCTGTAGCTTAGTGGAAAGTATAGTTTGTTTGCTAAGACAATTATGAATTTCTCACGTACCTTAGTTCCTCAAAGTGAATGCTGCTCAGGGAGGGGTTTCATCTGTTCCAGTCTGGAGCAAAATGGAAAGGACTTTGAGCCAGAAGTTGGCTTTGATTTTTGTCCTAGTGCTGATTACTTTGGAAGACAACACTAAACCCAAGCCTCAGTTTTCCTGTTGTAAAACTAGAGAGGCAAGACAGCTTCTCAGGTTTCTTCTGGTGTTCATCATGGCAAAATCTCTGATTCTTGAGGAAATTATGGATGCTAATACTTGAGGTAAACAAAAAACTGCAGCGTTGAAGGAAGTAGATCCTTTCCCTAAAGGTATTTTTAAGGAGAAATAGTGAACACTTCCCTCAACTACTTTAGCAGGTAAAAAAAGAGAATGATAAATTCCTTGGAAATTCAGAACTAGCTCCTGCCAGGCTTTTTATCTTATTGAAAATTGTCCAAAGAAAAAATATTTTAGCGTTTACTGGCTTGGGGCTTTGATGACTTGTATTTCACTTTTCCAAGAATTAAAAAGGTGAATTAATTGCTGCGGCACCCCCAAAAGAACCTTTGCCACATTAATGCAAACATGAGTCACTTGGTTATGTAAAGGACTACACTTTACTTAAAAAATGCAAAGGACAAGAGAGAAAGAGGGTGGACCAACTTCTTTCATTCTGAGTCAGTTAAGAATATTCTAAGCCAGGCATCCTCAAACTACGGCCTGCAGACCACATGCTGCCCACCGAGGACATTTGTATGGCCTGCTGGGTATTTTTGCTGCTGCTGCTTGTCCTGCTTAGCAGCCGACTTGTCCCCGGGCCCGCAGTCTGGCCTGCCAACGGTCTGAGGGACGGTGAACTGGCCCCCTGTTTAAAAAGTTTGAGGACCCCAGTTCTAAGCAAATGCATGATTTTAATGTGAATTTTAATTTTCACAGTTGCTAACAGCTTGCATCCTTTTATTAATTGTTTTTTCTGTGGACTGGCCTTTATGCTAAGTACTGTAGACCACCCAAAGGATAGTAACTAACTGGTCGACATAAGGAAGTAGGACTACTGTACTGATATATAAGTTGACCACCCAAAAGATTGTAACTAATTGGTCAACATATGGAGGTGGTCAAAATAAGGAACTAGGCCTACTGTACTAATATGTACATGTGGTGCATGTCCAGTCTATGGAAATTAGATCACCTTAAGGAGGTGCTCAATTCAGGGAGGTGATCAACTATGGAGGTTCTGCTGCACTTATCCCACTTATTCTCAAAACATCTTGTGGATGGAGTGGTAGTTTTTCATTGTTATTCCAGATGAAGAAACTAAAGTACTTATAGTTTTTAATTTGCTAAATTAAGGTCCATTTAACAAGCAATTGAGTTGGGATTTGACCAAGTAAATGAGTAGTGATTCATTCTTTGAGCCCACAGTGTAGCTAAACACATTTTTAGTATTTTTAATGGAAGTGAAAAAAATAGTAGGAAATTGATGACACTCAATTCACTAGTCCAGTTGTATTCATTCTGTGTCCTTTTCCTAGAGATCCTGGGTATTTTCTTTTTATCCTGTCCTATCAATACCTTTCCTTTCTATGTTGCTGCTTAGAGAGTATTCATTTTAAGCATTCTAAGTGAAACCAAGTCTTGGGTTAAAATAATGAACAGTCATATTTTGTACAATCACATAGTACTATTTCACCAAAGTATGACCTTATTTGTAACTTAGCATCATCCAGACCTGTTGCTTTAAATAATTTAATAAAACAGGGTTTCCCTTCCCCCACTGAGGCCCCACTTTCCTCCCCAATCACTTTAATTATGTGAGCTAGAATCTTGTTTCTCACACATCTTCAGTTCTCAACCTTGTTAAAATTAATCATATAATCCCCCTTTAAAACATAGTATTAAATCACCATAGTAACACAGTATCCGAGCTTTATAGATAAAACATAACAGCCATAAGAAGGTAGCGTTTGGTGTCCCCTTGACAGCTCTATAACTTTTATAGAAATGTGTTCCTTCCCCTGCCTGGATAAGGTGGAGGGATAGCATTACTTACACCTGCTTTATTACCACGTAGCTTTTAAATTGCCACCTTGTTTTTGTTCACCTCCCTAGTTAAATAAGAAGAGTGGAACACTTTCTTTTCTTTCTGAATTGTTTTCTTGTACTCTTTCACCATTCTCCAAGGGATAGAGTTGTGTGCTTAAATAGGACCAGGCAGGGTCCATTGACCTTTATAGTGGGATACCTTGAAAATCCTTTTAATTTTCTTTGTGGCTTATATAATGGAGTTTTAGAAAGAAAGTTTACCCTATGTTTGAAAACTTAATCCATAACCTCGATAAGAATTCTACCTTTAGAAAAGGCTTGGTAGGCTCAGCGCCTATAGCTCAACGGGCTAAGGCGCCAGCCACGTACACCTAAGGTGGCGGGTTCGAATCCCCAGCCCGGACCCGCCAAAACAACAATGACGGCTGCAACCAAAAAATAGCCGGGCATTGTGGCGGGTGCCTGTGGTCCCAGCTACTTGGGAGGCGGAGGCAGGAGACTCGCTTGAGCCCAGGAGTTGGAGGTTGCTGTGAGCTGTAATGCCATGGCACTCTACCCAGGGGGACAGCTTGAGGCTCTGTCTCAAAAAAAAAAAAAAAAAAAGAAAAAAGAAAAGGCTTGGTAGACTGTGATTTTTCATGACAATTTATAAAGTAATTGATGGTAATAGCATAGATACATGGGTCTTTTACCAATTCGAGTATATTGACTTGAGTATACTTTGTAAAAGACAATGAATCCTTTTGGCAATGTCAAAGTCTAAAATATTTTGTTAATATAAATTTACTTAATAGAATTTGGAAAGGTTAAATTTTTTTAAAAAGAATGGAATCCAAGCTAAGTGGTAAACTGATTTTAGAAAGTGGATTTTGAAATATTTTGTCACATTTTAAAAAGTTTCTAGATTAGTATGATTAGTACTATGCTTTTTACTTTTACATTAATATTTTAAAATTATGTCACATTTATGTGTGGTTTGTTTTTGTATCGATGCAGGAATTTTGAGCTTTTTAAAAATCATCTTTTTTAAAAAACATGATCTCCAAGTCTTAGAAAGCACCTTGCAAAGCTAGACATTTTGGTATTTCTGTCCTCTAAAATATGAAATATGTTCCTCATAAATTCAGAAGTGCGAAAGATACAGAAATTAGGAAAACAACACTTCACTTTGTCCTCTTGCTTCCCAATTTCAATTTCAGCTCCTTCCCTTAGTAGCTCTGGGAACTTGAGTCAGTTACCACCTCTACTGGGTTTGAGTTTCCTTTTGGGTAGGCTGGGAACATCATGTAAATTCCACGGTGGTTGTGAGAAGGGAGTGAGATGGTATATACCAAATGTCTAACTTTGGACTGGAATGTAGTAGTCACCTCAATTCTGCTGCTGGAATTGTTGCTTTCTGAGCTAGAGGAGACACCATGTAAGCATCAGTAGCAGCTTGCTGGTAGTGTGGCCTTTGGAGTCAGAGCTAGGTTTAAGATCCAGCTTTTTGACACTTACCAGCTGGGACCTTAGGCAGTGCCCTCTAGACTATTTCTTCATCTATAAAGTGAGGTTAATAAAATGCACCTTTTGGGATTGATGGGCTGATTAACAGAGCTACCTCAGGGCCTGAGCTCAATTAGGAGAAGGTATGATACTCTGATTGTGACTGCTGAGGTGGTCACTACGATGGGCTGCAGGCTGTATTTTTTTTTTTTTTTAATCAACTCTACGTCTGTTTCCGTGAAGTGTGTAAATTTTAAGTTCATTTATAAAGACTTCCACTGAGAGAGGAAATGTTACAGGTTCAATGACTTGTTGTGATTAGATACTTTATCAAGGAACTTACTGCACATTCATTTTCCTCTTTGTTCTGTCTTTGCCGCAGCCTCACAGTTAGCCAAGTTGGCCAGAACTTTACATTCGTGCTCACTGACATTGACAGCAAACAGAGATTCGGGTTCTGCCGCTTATCTTCAGGAGCGAAGAGCTGCTTCTGTATCTTAAGGTAAGGGAGAGTGGCTTGGGCTGTTGGCTCGTCCTGTGAAACAGTGTCAGCTTTTGCGTTGTTCTGTAATTAAATTTTCCAGCTGTCCTCTTTATTTTCCTATCTCTTTCCCATAAGTCACTGCACTTGGGGAGAAGGACTTCTCTGTGTTGTCCTTGCACTTTATGCTCTGCAGATAATTATATTTATTTATTTGTATCACGTCCCTTGGGCGGGAAAGGGACCCCTTGCTTTTGAGCAGTATGGGGAAGCTGGAGAGTCATTCAGTCCCTCCTGCTGTTATCTGGAGCTGTCAGGAATTAGCCTGTTAGTCTTTCTCTTGGACATTTTGTGTATGTAAGATTATTAATAAAGTATGTGTCTGTAGCTCAGGACGTCTTGCAGACATGGATGATGTCCTCCTTAAAGTAACACCCTTTCCCCCTTTGGGTCAGTGAAGGAATAACTGTTTCTCAACATGGCTACTACCTCTGTAGAGGTTTGAAACAAGTACAGAATCCTGTAAGAAGGCTTCTTCAGGTCTCCTAAAATCCCCTTTATACATACACCAGAGCCCCACTTGGCTTAATGCTCTGTTTCCTCCTGCCGGAGGGGTAAGGAGGTTCTGGGATGGGAGGATGTTTGGAAATCCGATTGTGGAGCCCTGGCTTTGTGGGCTCCTGCTGGGCGCCTCCTGAGGGGGAAGTAAAGGCATCCCACAGCTCTCCTCTCCATCTGCCTTGGTTAAGTAGGTGTCAGAGGGGCCTGCCTCTTGTCTCTCTCTGCTCATGTGGAGCAGAGGGGCAGGGCAGGAGGGAGGTGCCCATGACAAAACCCGGGCCCCCAGTCTAGGGCTTGGGCCTGGGGATAAAAGGCCAGACCCTCTATGGATTCCAGAAAGGGTAGCTCTCTGCTGTACCCCTCTCTGCACTTTCTTCTTCTTCTCCCCAAGAGAAGACCCCCATTCTCCTGCCCCCCACCCCTCACACTGTAGGGGAGGAAGGGCTGACTTTTAAGTTTCTTTGCTCACTGACTCAGCCTGGACTTAACACACGTTTGCATTTTTCTCTGGAAATCTTATTATTATTTTTAGTCATTGAAGTCAACTCTCCCTTGCACCAAGCATAGCATTTGTAATCTGGGCACCAGAGGATAACTGCTGGTGAGACTGTAGGAGGGGGCACAACCTGGCTGCTCTGGAAGATTATGGGTGTGCAGCTGTTCCCAAGCTCAAGCTTGCCCTAGGATTACTTGCCCAGAGGAGTAGACTTTGATATAAACAATTACTTACTTTTTGATTGAACAGTGTGCCTTTTTTTTTTTTCCCTTTTCTTTTTCCTTGTTACATTTCAGCCCTGGCCAGGACACTGCATACTATATAGCTGACCCTTGAACAACATGGAGGCTACACTGCCTTTTCCCACTTGAAAATCCATATATAACTTCTGACTCTGCCAAGACATACCTTCTAATAAATGGCCTCCTATTGACCTTTTGCCTTCCTGAGAACATATACAGTTGATTAACACATAACTTGTATGTTATGTGTATAATATATCATATTCTTAAAGTAAAGTAAGCTAGAGAAAAGGAAATGTTATTAAGAAAATCTTAAGAGTCAGGGTGTGGTGGCTCACATCTGTAATCCCAACAGTCTGGGAGATAGAGGCGGGTGGATTGCTTGAGCTCAGGAGTTTGAGACCAGCTTGAATAAGAGTGAGACTCTATCTCTACTAAAAATAGAAAAAACAAACAAACAGAAAAACTAACCAGGCATCATGGTGGGCAATTGTAGTCCCAGGCACTCAGGAGGCTGAGGCAAGAGGATCGCTTGACCCCAAGTGTTTGAGGTTGCTGTGAGCTGTGACACCGAGGCACTCTACACAGGGCGACAGAGTGAGAGTCTGTTTCAAATCATAAGAAAACGTGTTTATATTCACATTTGAAGTAAATCATCATAAAGATCTTCACTATGACCTCTTCACATTGACTAGGCTGAGGAGGAAGACGAGGAGGAGTTGGTTTTGCCATCCCGGGGTGACAGAGGTAGAGGAGGGGGAAAGGGAGACAGGAGAGGCAGGCACACAGTTGTACCTTTTATTATTATTATTTTTTTTTTTTTATTTTGAGACAGAGTCTCACTATGTCACTCTCAGTAGAGAGCTATGGCATCACAGCTCACAGCAACCTCAAACTCTTGGGCTCCAGAAATTCTCTTGCCTCAGCCTCCCCAGTAGCTGGGACTACAGGCTATTTTTTTGTTGCAGTTGTTATTGTTTTTTAGCAGGATTCAAACCGCCTGCTATGTGTATGTGGCTGGTGTATGTGGCTGCTATGTGTATGTGGCTGGTGCTGTAACCACTGAGCTAAGGGAGCTGAGCTAGTTGTGCTTTTTATTGAAAAAAATTCCCTTTATATGTGGACCCCTTCAGTTCAAACCTGTGTGTATTCATTTGGAGATGGTGGGGCTTGAACAGAGTTCTTGAAATTTTGCAAAAACTTTTTCCCCTATGTTTGGGTTTTGATGTTTCTTTCCAATGTGGGTGGGGAGTATATGTGTGTGTGAACTCTAAACTGTCACTGTCACACTCACTGAGCAAATTTCTGAAAGTAGAAAACTTTATTTAAAAACTCACATTTACAACTGTTTTCATCTCATTCTGGTGTGCGACTTTACGTGCCTACATAGATAGGATCATGGATTTTGGATTGTGAGAAGCCAATTGAATAGCCTTCATGCTGTCATCATTTAGAATGAAAAATAGCAGCAATTGTGTTTATTCTATCTGTTTGTCTAGCTTGGAACTATGGAGAAAAATTCAGTGGGTTAATTCATTTGTTTGTCAGCCCTTAATTGAATGCTACTATTAGCTAGTCCCTGCCCTTCAAGGGGACCCACACTAGCCAGGGAGATGGATGATCACACTACAGTGTGCTATCTATAATGCATAGAGTGATCCCAGGGCCTGGTGTCTTCTTACTATTGATTTTCCAGTGCCGGAGGATAGTGAATGTGGTTAAAAATAAAGAGTCCTGTATGACTTCTGGAATGTGTATTTTATGGGAATTTGACATGGTAGGGGGAGCGCTCTTTATCTTATTCGGCTTGTGCATGTATAAGGGCGCCCGCAGTGGCCCTTCCCCTGTGTTCTGTTCAGGAACATTGCTAGGTTGGGACCAGCATATAAATGGAAGTATCCACCATTAAACCTGGAGGACTGGTTGGCAGCATGTCGGATGGGGAGCAGAGAGGTCTGCCAGGACAACAAGGGCACAGTTGGTGTCTAGGTTAGATGGTTGGCATTGTCCTCTGCTGCTGCTTGATCTTGCTTTCTTCAGATGCTTTCTCTTTAGTTGCCCTTCACTGTGTGCTCACAGTTACAGCTCTCGCCTGCTGGTAAAGCTACCTCTCCTTTGCTTTCCATTTCTTCTCATGGGGGTCGTAGCTCCAAGTAATGGTATCTGAGCAGATACAGCCTCTGCTGTTCCAAGACTTAGCTTTGCTTCCTTGCTGCCTGATCTCCCAAACTTATATTCTTCCTGGCCCATGTGAGCCACTGTGCTTTCACGTGTCCACCCAACATCCCAGACTAGGCATAGGTACCTCCTTGGGGTGGCCTTCCCCAGGCAGATGTAATCATTCCCTTCTCTGGGCACACTCAGCATGCTTTACATACTTCAGTTACACATTCTTAAACTTTGATCTTCCTTTGTCTTTCTCCTATTGGAAAGTCAACTCTTCAGGGGTAAAGACTACGTCTTAACCAACAGTGTGACTTCAACACGTAGTGTAGTGCCTGACCAAGATATAGTGTGCATGGTGTTAAGAAAAGAAATGAAGGGTAGGGCACTAAAGGGTTTGAATGAGAGGACAAGCTTCATGGGACTAAGCTTCCTTAGTTCAAAGAGGAAATAGGAAATATGATTATTGGCAGAAGTATGGTTGATATTACCAAACTCAATTCATACTAATTCTGAGAATCTCACAGTGGAGATCAACGTTGAATGACAGGTTTTGTCTTTCAGTGGCTACGCTGTCTGTATTCTGAATTTAAACTTTATTGCACAATGAGAAGTTCTTAGACATCTTTTAGATAATATAATTTATTAATAATAGGTTCATTTTTATTTTTCTGTTCCTGCCCCACTAGGACATAAATTCCATGAAGGCTGGGAATTTTTATGTCCCCCCACCCCACACATAATTGTGTTCCAACTTTATGGAAGACTGTCAGGCACATAGTAGGTGCTTAGTAAGGCTTGTTTTATGAAGGAACAAATCCTCCGGAAACAAGCTCATGTGTATTTATTTTTTTAATTTTAAGGTGGGTTTGAACCCCTGCCACCCACTAATCTTGACAGAAGCATAGTCATACTAGAGTATAAACATGTCTCATTAGCACAAATGCCACTGTAAAGTCAAACTCCTCACTTCCTCTCACAGTGGACTAGTTCCTGCCATTAAAAGATTTTACTTCTCTTTGAGATTCACTGTATTCTTTAAGTAGTTGCTGGATGGTAGTTAATATTAAGTTTAAAACACCATCTGGGAGAATAATAGTTATGGGTATGTTAGTTGTTCTTTGGTAATAAACCCAGGAATGTGGAAGCATTTTAGCATTTACAGATTGCATTGAGTGAGTCTGATGTGGTATCTTTCAGTATTATAAACCAAAGTGACCTAGGATTTGAATTGTTTCATGGCTTTTGATTTGCTAAAATGGCACACACTCTCTCTGGGCCAGAACTGTAATGAGATAAGCTACTTCTAGCCGATTTATGGGTTTGGATCAACAGAAGGAACACAGAAGGTCAAAGCTATAAATTTGTTATTTGGAGGTTATAGGAGATATGTCATACATAATTAATTTTTTTTTAGTCCTTATAAAGGAACTTTGCAGATATTTATATTCTACGATTTTCTCCTTTATTCTGTAGGGATCTTACTTAAGCTCTTGAGAAAGCTTGAGTAACTATCCTTATACCTAAATAAAACTGAAACTTGGTACGCATTTTGGGAA